GAAGATGTTTTTTAGAGCTTGTGTAGACAGGATTCTTTTTTTAAATGGCAAAGGAAAACCTCTGTTTAAGAAGATACGGCCTACTTGTGGAAAAGGCCTAGACACGGGTGGTAATCAGACACAGGTGAGACCAAGGGCACATATATGGACAATCAGAGCAATCAACATTTAGGGAAACCAGACAAGGGAGGAACTGATTATTACATTATCTTAAAAAACACCAAAACAATAGTGTAAAAATGACACCTTTTTATCATAATAATTTCCCATTATAAAAAGTATGTAACAGTAACATTACACACAGGTCATAGAGAAACACAATTTTCAATATAGGTAATGCAGTTTTTAAAATAGAACATAATTACTTTAAGCACACGAATACATGCTTTTTAATTATTTTAAAATTAATTATGTTATTTACAATATGTTTCTTTATAAAGCAAATGACTTGTAAATTACATTTGGGTGCTGGTTTGAAACCTCCAGTGTCATACTGTAATGTATTCATACGTTCAACTTTTAACTTCTGTAAATCAGCTTCTTAAGAAAATGTGCACCACATATTTTGCAGATCTAAATCCATTTTTAATTCAGGTAATGCAGTTGCAGATTTTTTCTTCTTAAAAGCACATGATAATTTGCTTTTCAATTATTTAGATAGTAACTATTATTTAATTTTTTAAGAATTTTCAATTAAATCGGGTTATGTGGTTGCTGAAACATATTCATGATGTTTAAATGTTCACAAGTCTTATAATAAAATCTTTAAAATTAGGTTGTTTTGTCTCAGTATTCTTCAATTTTGTGATTCATTTAAAATAGTTTCTGTAGCAGTTGTATCCGTTTCCGTCACAGCAGTGTCTTGTATTGTAAACAGTTAAGACAACAGTGATAGCAGATGTTACATGTAACCCCAAGTATACAAAGAAATGACAGAAGATAAGAAAAACCCTTCCTTTATTTTGACATCTTTATTTCTGACTTCTAAACCAATCCTAAGTTTTATTGTCCCTCTCTGACATCAGTCATTGGTATAACCACACTGCCCTCTTCTGGTCCTGGTACAGAATTACACTACAACTTGATACAAAGGAACATAGTTATTGCAACAATTGCAAAAACTGTTGTGTTACTTTTATTACTGGTGTAATTCATGGTAACATAACTGCGCCATAAATGCAGTCTGATACAAGATGAGTTGTTGTTTTACAACTCTAATACAACATTATATTATTGTCCAAGGTTGCTGCAAAAAAAAAATCAAAGCTGGAGTGTGTACACCTTGAAAGAGACAACCCATTGATGCAAAGAGAATTCGAAGTTAAACGGGCCTTCCTCCAAAACAGAGTCCAAGTGCTGATGATCCACAGGCACCACCCACAGCTGAACTTTACTCACATTTCACAGGGAGAAGCTGCTCCTAAACTTTCTGCCTGCACAGCTGTGCATCATCAGGGCTCAGGTCCATTATAACAAAGCTCCAGGATGGTGAAGAACAGGATTCCTATCCTTTTAGAGGAAGCTTCTCTGATTTTTCAGAGGCAGCAGCTTTGATTCCGAACTCTGTTCCCCTTCCCAAGCAGCCATGCTGCCATAACACACATACATATGTCTGTATATGCTGCAATTTGAGGTTGAATCCAGGAATAAAAGGAAAACCGATGCTGTAAAACAAAAACCTCATCCACTGTTTGCAATGCATAAACAGAACACTATAGCATAACTTATTACATGTACATGGATGCAGACTAGTTATAATATTGCCCAACAAGTCAGTAATATAATCTGTTTCATGCCTAATGGGAAAGCAACTATTCGATGGCAGAATAAACATCCCTGCAGACTTATTTATAACCGATTGAGACGTAACGTCAGGCTGCTCATTACCGATGTCATCGTTGTCTCACGTTTAGCAATTTTACCGGGAGCAAAAAGTCAACACAAGGTATGTCTCTTTGTAGACAAATATATCTATCTTATGTTGTCTCAAAAAAGTTTAAACCTTACAAGACCGCTCTACAACTAGCATGTATACATGTAGCCATTTAGCTACGGCCTAGAGGCATCATGGTAACAGTTGTATACACATACACAACTGAACAATCGGCTGTAGACGTTCAGGTTTTCCTTTACCGCATGTCATTCCCCACTCTCTTGCTCCCTGATTTCAGACTCTATCCTCTCTCTCCAATAAAAGGCAGAAAATGCCCCCAAAAAATTAAAAACTGGTAATATTACTGTACCTTCTGCGTCGACATGGTTCTTTATCTTCAAAGTTACACATTGGGGCTTTAAACAAGATTCATCATTTTAAGTTGTCAGTTCGTAGGCCTCATTCATTGAAACTTTGCCCATCATGGTTTGGTCACCTGACTTACTGACTGACTTACTGACTGACAACCTACCTGACTTACTGAATTGGCCCCACACCTGTCTTACTGATTGACACTCTAACTGGCTACACTGACTGACATCATACCTGTACCTAAATAACTGACAACATACCCAACTTACTGACTGGTACATTCCTAACTTACTTACACACACCATACCTGAGTTACTGACACTCTACCTGTCTAACTGACTGACTGACTGACACCCCACCTGTCTCAGTCTAACTGACTGATTCAGAGCTATATGGTAAAACAAAACATAGCAGCTCAGCTATGTGTGTTCCTGCAGACTCAGAATGGGCCTTTGGGGGGTGATTATACGCGCTGTAGTAAACGTTTGTGTATTACAGTATAATCTGAGTCTATATTACCTTATTTGACAGAAATCTGTACATTTCCTGTTATTTCTGACCATTTTATAAATAATATTATCATTATGCTTAAGTTACTGACACCCCAGTTAAATCTGGTAAAGATTTTTTTTTATTGCAACAGTGAAACAGGGGAGGAGAAGGATTTTAAGGGAGAGGGGTGTAATGGGATTGGCAGAGGGGGGATCATATCCTGCCAGTGCATTTCACCCTCTTCCTATGATGGCTGCTCTTTTCCTTTGAATTGTGTTTTCGTTTACATACACATTTGTTTAAGTACATTTATTGAGTTACTAAGGTATTACAGTATTGGTCCGAATATAAGACGGCCTTTTTCCCCATCGAAATAGGTCCGAAAAAGTTGGGTCGTCTTGTATTCGGGGTCTAGTATTCAGAGCGCAGCTCTAATTGTTCGCCTGTCCCTTTAAATGTCAACACACATGACGCGCTCTGGGAGGAGCAGGGGAGTGATGACAGTGAGAGCGAACACAGCGGGGTGGAGGACGTGTGTATAGGAGACATCGGAGAGAAGTTTGGCAAGCTTTAGTTTAGTTAAAGATGTGGCCTGTATTTTCTCTGTTATTTAAAAATGTTGATAATATTGCTTGATTTTAATGTTGAATCATACTGTACATATTTTGACCTTGTGTAAAACTTTGTTTTGAAAAGTGCCGTAGCATATAACGATAAATAGGCCTACGTTTATTATTGTTATCATTATTACAACAACAGGTGTTTAATTCAATGTGTTTTTAATATTGGGGAGCGATGAGAGCGAGAGTGAACACAGCGGGGGCAGAGTGTGTGTGTGAGGAATAGAGAGGAGACATCGGAGGAGAAGTTTGGAGAGTTTTAGTTTAGCGGTAGTTTAGTTAAAAAAGTTGCCTGTATTTCCTCTGTTATTTAAAAAAAAAACATGTTGATAATATTGCTTGATTGTTAATCGATTTTAATTTTGAATCATACTGTACATAGTTGCCCTTGTGAAACACTTTGTTTTGAAAAGTGCTGTAGGCCTATACCGATAAATACGGTATGTTAATTATTATTATATATGATTATTAATACAACAGGTGTTTAATTAATGTGTTTTTAATATTGTTATTTTCAAATAAAATAAAGTTCTTTATGAAAACAAGATCTGGTCTGCAAATCTTTTTTCTAAATGTGAGTGTTGAAAAACAGGGGTGTCTTATATTCAAACCAATACGGTATTTCAAATAATCACAGATTTAAGTCACAGATCATTTGGATCATTAGATCAGATCAGGAAATTGAGAAATAATAAAAATATATTTGTTGGCTATAACGCAGCGCTGTTTGACAGTCTGTGTGGAGAAGTTCACAGACTACAGCTGGCTGACGTTAACGATTGTTAAGTTATTGATTGTTGATAAAAGCAGACACGGTGGAAGTGAACGGAGAAAAGTGCGTTCCCGACTCGGTCCATACGGATAGCGGATCAACCGTGTTCCGTTGCACAGTTGCATTACAAGTAAACAGGTGTGCGCGGTGGTTGGCGTTCCGTGTGTGTGTGTGTGTTTTGCAGCCATGTGTCTCGTGTGTCTCGTCTCGGCGTGCCCCCCCCCCCCGAAGACCCGTCTGCAGACAGCAGAGGAGCAGGGACAAGTAGCCGCAGCTACAACATATGCGGTTTAGTATAGTTTTAACATGACTGTTGGGATAAATATTTACCGCCATTAAGTGGATTGCTCTTTGAAATTAACTCGCCAAACAGAAAATCACCCCGCATTTAGCGCTTGTGGGTGTCAGCGGAGCGTCCAGAACCAGTCAAAAGAAACAAACAGTCAATCAGCTGGCTATCCAGCGCGAGCCGCATGTGTAAATGGATGAGAGGGGAGATGACTGCTAGAAGTCAGAGACGTCGTATTTAAGTTTATGTTCTGATTGTTCAACAGTCGTTTGATGTATTGATATTTTTAACAAACATTCAGAGAGGATTTGATTTGTAATTTGAATCGTCTTTTTTTTCTTTTGACGCTCATGATTTTCTTTTGGCGCTGGGTAAAACCTCTTTGGGGGGCGCCCAAGAATTCTCTATGCAGGAAAAACCCTGAGACTAAAAGGACATTCAGGAGATTTTTTTGTTTGTAATTTTTTTAAACGGAGATGTAGCACCTGTGGTCCTAACCTGGTTAAATAGATAAGAGCATCAAGAAACATTTAAACCAGCGCTGTGCGCATAAAACAAAAAAATAGAAAAAATAGAGTTCTGTGAAAATAAAAGAAAACCGAAAGTCCCTTCGAGTTGGACTTCCAGCTCAAATGCTCCTCTATAGAGAGGAGCTGTGAGAAGAGAAGAGTTCAAAGCTCAAAAGAGTTCAGTTTCAGGGGGAAAATCCAGATATGTGTGTTCAGTGTCAATGTTTATTACCCGGGTAAGTTAATAGAGTGTATGTGTCTTATCTGGAGTCAACCCAATGAGTCAAGCAATCTGACGTCCTCTGAGCAGGTACTGCAGCTGGCCACACTGCGTAAGTGACCGTCCTCTGAATCACTGGGCTCGCCATCAAGTTCATCTATGCTGTGGTACACAAATAGTGCAGAATTGTAAATGATCAAGTTCTTATTCTGTTTCTAACATGAGACCTCATTAACTACTTCAGCGTATTTTTCAATGTCTAACCAAAAGCCAAGGAAAAACTACAATAAAATGAATTGCTATGTATCAAAACAATTAGTTTTAACCACAAAAATAAGACTTACAATGAATTACCATATGTCACGGTATTTAGCAAATAAATGAATTATTTATTCCTTCAAACACTTTAACTGTTCATATTTCCCTTTTAAAACTCTTATATACAAATTTCAATGTATTACCTTTTAAAACATTAAAATGATTTAAATTATTACTACTAGTAAACTTAAGTAGTGCATTTTAACAACTAACATCAGTAAAACCACATTTTAATTGTACTTTAAACCATTAAAGTGGATAAATACACTTAAACAAGTTGTTTTCATATCAGTGCTCCTGTAAGGTTTCAGTCTGTGCCACTATGCTGCGAATGCTACATTAGCTTAGCATTAGCATTAGCTAGCTTCTAGCATACAGTTGCACATCATATTACTAGCCAGTCTAATTTTATGGGTTAGCCATTAGCCTTAGCAACTCGCACTAGCATTAGTGATCTTTTTTAAACATATAAACAATGACATGAAGTGCACCAGAGGACAGTGGCAATGTAGGAAAATCATCTGGTAACTCCGTTTGGTATTTAAGTAAAAGTATCTGAACTTAAACAGCACATACAGTCAGTTTTCTCTCCACAGAGATTAGCATTAGGCTAACATGAACTCACCTGAGATTCATAAACACAATAACAACTCGACGGGAGTTATCTTACTCAGGCTCACTCATTGTGTTCTGCTAACAGAGCAGACTTATTAACACCAAAACAAGTTTATGACTGGATTAATCAAAGTTTTACGACTATTTTATGCCAATTCATACCAGGAAAAGCATTTTCAGGTCGTGTCTGTGAACCTCATGTCTGCAGGACAATAGAACAAGAAGCGCGGGCTTCACATGGCACTTTACTGCTGCTGGATGCTGCTACACAGCAGCAAGCGACCTCTACTGGGGAAAATGGATAACTGCACATCTAGACAACATGGGTTTAATAAGTAGCCCTATATTTCATATGGGTTACAGAGGAAAAAGGTCTGCATACTGTTCTGCTCCTAATGGGCAACATTTCCATTGCAATAAAATTGTCCAATTGTTTTCTGCAGTAAGTAGGTCTACATTTCTCCTCCTGCAGCTGTATGCATTTTGCCTGGATGCGCACACACTGGTTTTCCTTTATGTTTTAAAACGACCAGCTTTTGGCATTAAAATAAACACTTTATGCTTTGTGAAAACGTCTTTTTAATTAGTTTTTGCACGGCCATGTATATATACTTTAATTAGTTACATAATGGTGTCTTTCTGTGTTATACTTTTTTTTTTTAAAGTCCCCATACTGTAAATCATTATTTATGAAAAACTTGGGTTTTTCATACTTATCAGGTCCTACTTAACCCAATCAGTGGGTGAATTTAAAATGCATACCAAACCAGAAGGATTATAAACTGCTATGATTCTGGACTGTCTTGCTAATGGTGGTGAGATTACATCATCTTAAAATCATTAATACATATTTCAAATGTTTATATGCATCAAAAGATTTAGGCCTGTATCGATATATTC